TTCCCATCCCTCAATTAGGATTAGAGGAAGTCACCGGAGGAGCTTTATTCCCTATGTAGATCCTGCAAATGTATTTTCAGTTTCAGTTGTCATCCATAGCCTTCTCCAAACCATACTCTCACATTTTAAACTCTAAAACTATTCCCTCCTTTGGATTTGGATTATATAATTTGCAATCCTTGGATCACTGATGTCAGTGTCTTTCTTCCATGTGGACTTAGTTGATGTCTCACTTAGATGGCTACTTGTTTGGAAACAAGTCCTTAAGACCCCAGACACTATTCTATATGATATAGCCAGGCACCATCTAATTTCCTCACCACACTTTGCTATGGCACCCATATCTTCTCTGTGTTTCCTTTATGAGGAAGAGTATTGAGGAGGACTAGGATGTAAGAACTAATTGTTGTTATTATTATTTATAATAGAATTCCAGGAAAATTGCTATTGTGAAACAGAGTTGCTAGTAAACACTTAAAATATACACTCACAATGACTTCCTTTTCAAACATATTACTTTGGGCAAAACTTGCAAACATTCCAATAGTGTTCCCATAGGCCATCACACACACGTGTTCAAAACAAAGTCCCCGAGCTTGCAGTGTGAAAACTACTGCACCAGCGGACACAATGATGCATAAGGTCTTGTTTCCATTCTGAAAGACTACACAAACTAGTTCAAAAAGTGGAAACAGGTCTATGAAGTTATGATCCAATCCATAAGAAGGGTATCACTAGAATGGTATGGGATTCAGAGAAAGGGTGATCATTCTGGTCCATGAAAGCTAAGGAAGATTCAGAGGTAAAGGTTTGGGATGGGAGGGGCTCAGACAAGTAGACATGGAGCGGGCAGGCTGGAGGTCTTTCGGGCAGAAGACAGTTGGTTGCAGATTGGAAGACTTGAAAATGAGAGTGCTTTGGCCATCATGTCGTTTGAGTGCATGGAATGGAGAATGGACAGGTTGGGAGAAGATGATAGCGAACTGTGACTGTCACACTGAGAAACTCATACTGATTTCTTTTTCCATATACGTAGCAGAGTTACTGAAGAGTTCAGTACTGCACGAACTGTGGCTGATTTTGTGGAAACAGATTAGGATAACTAAGAGGCATTGACAACATACAGCTTTTAAATCATGCTTTGTTCATTGCTCTTTGTAAGGGTGACTAAAATCAACGATATCCGGAGTGCTGTGTAACCCTGGAATGGGGACAGCTTTCATGGCAGTGGGGGAAGGACGGTAAGGGGTGTGGGCAGATTCTTTGAGGGTCTAGTTCCTTCCACTTGAATCCATCTTACATATTTAGCTTCTGCAATAAAAAATGAAACTTCAAGAAAGATTCTTATTTTGTAAATGAAAACCATGATGAGATAGCACTTCACCGCAGCTAGAAAGGCTATCACCAGACAACAGAAAATACCAAGTATTGATGAGGATGTAGAGAAATGTGACCCTTCATTCACTGCTGCTGGAAATATAACATGGTGCGGATGCTGGAGAAAACAGTTGGGTGGTTTCTCAAAAAGTAAAACCCAGAATTAGCATAAGATTCTGCCATTCCACTCCTCAGTAATACCCAAGAGACTTGGAAACAAGTGCTCACACAGACAGGAGCATACTACTAGTGTTTCTTGGAGTGCTTTTCCCAAGAGTCAACTGCTGGAGATAAATGGATACGCACCATGTTGTCTATCCATAGAAGGGAATGATCATCAGCCACAAAGAAACATAGGGTTTTACCAACTGCCATGACATGGAGGGCCACTGAAAACCTTATGCTGTGGAAAATAAGTCCGACTGAGAAGGACAAATAAGTTATGGTTACACCTAACTGGAATAGACAAGTACTAAGGTACCAACATTTATTAAGCAATGGGTGATCAGGGAGTGAGGAAGGTGGGAAATGGAAGCTACTGTTTACGGGATACCTGTGTTTTTGTTTGAGAGGATCAAAACTATGTGGAAATGGATAGTGGTGATGAAGATTGCACAACAAAGCGAAGGCACCAAATGTGACTGCCTACACACTTACAAATGGTTAACAGTGGCAAATTTTAAACAATTTAACCATGTTGGTTCTTTTTGACATCGTGGGGAGAGTGTGTTGGGCAATCATGTAGGGAATTTGAGGGAGGGGAAAAAAGGGAGCCGTGGTGGCATCATGGTGACAAATTGGGCCACAAACATCAAGGTTAGTGGTTGGAAACTACCTGCAGAGCTGAAGGAGAACGACAAGGTTCTCTATTCCCATAAAGAATGCACGGGGACAGTTCTACCCTGTCCTGTAGGGTTCTCTGAGTCAAGAATTGCCTAGATAGCAATGAGTTAGAGAGTTTGAGGAAAGGAGAAAAGAATGTTTGCTGCTTCATAAAATTGTCAAAATGTATTCAGTAGTTTCGTTCATTCAAGATAAAATTTTCATTACCTCCCCTTAAAGTTGTTCACGTCTTTGAAGCATGCCGTTCTGTTAGAGCACATGAAATTATGAGTTCTTCGTGTTCAGATGATTGCTAGACATGCTCAATCCTCTCCCACACCTCTTTAAAAAACCTTTTTACTACGAATGAGGTGGTGGTTTACATTTCAGATCATCATTTTTATCATCAACTGCCTATTAAATCGCCCAATAGCTTGCCCTGCCCTCTCTCAAATGGCAGATTTGGTTATACAGATTTACCACAACACATTTTTAAATAAAATTTGAAAACCGATTTCCATTTCGAGGATGTAATAAGTGGGGGTGGGGGGTAGAAAGCCCGCAGCACTAGCTCCTCACCTCAACGTGCTGGCAGGTTTGGATGAGTTTGGCCAACAGAGTTTCCAGTTCCGTGTTCCTCTTGATAAGGTTGGTGAGGTTACTCTCCAAGTTTTGCTGTTCAAAAAGAGGGGGAAAGACATTATTTTGCATATATTATTATTATACGAAATAGTATTAGAATACTTTAGCACACACAATATCACCCAGGCTCAGCAAAAACCGATTTGTTCTCTAGAACGCCCCCTGTGCAAACGAATGATACAATTTCAAATATGTCTCTATTTAAACTGGATTCCGAAAAGCCGTGTCTAAAAGAATCAACCGAAGTATTCATAGTCCCATTTCAGTTGATTTTGTTCCTGATTCTTGCACTGACTCAGGTATATTTAACCAGACAATTAGTTATAGGTTACTTCTAGGACAAGGACTCGGGGACAAGGCCATGACTGGATTTCCATATTCCCTGACCGAATCAGAAATGGCAACAATATAGGGACTATACTCATTCCCACATCAAATCAACTAGGACTGGATTTTTAGGATTTCTCCATCTTAGGGGCCAGCTGAGGTGACTCCCCGGAAGGCAGGCTTGAGAGGCTCAGCTAGTGCTGACAATAGGGTCGATTATGAGACATCATCATCACTCATGTTTACTTAGCCACAGTATTGTATGTGCTTCCAGTCTTTGCCTGTCATGCCAGATCTGAGTTCTTTTGACTACGACATTGACCATGTCCCCATCGTGCTAAAGAAGCTAGAATTACTCCCTCTTTCCTCAGAGGATCCCATTTAAAGTTTGCTGGGAGACCCACGTCATCTTTTTTTTGAGCCACAACCACCCTATGTTCTTCTGCATAAGACAGGGACCAATTTCTCATTGCTTTCTCCTCTGTGGCCCCCACGAGCAGTTCTAGAGCTAGAATCAACTCACCGGCAGTGGCTTGTTTAATAATTCTGTATGCTCATCATTTATATCACTTGTTTGCTCCTGAGCTACTACGATATGACAGACTGAAAGATGATGCTGGGAGAGCAAACCTATAAAATGATCGAGCCCATGGCCATAAGAAAACGGCTAAACAACTGGCAGAAAAAGCCACTGCCATCAAGACAATTTCAACTCTTAGCAATCCTACAGGGCCGATTTAGAACTGTCCCAAGGCTGCCATCTGTACAGAAGCAAACTGCCATGTATCTTCCCAAGGAGCAATTGGTTGGGTCAAAGTGCCAGCCTTGCAGTTTGTATCCGTTTGCTTAACCACTGTGTGACCAGGACAGAGGGATGTTGTAAACAACGGAAAGGGAAGAAGCCCGCCTGCTTATTGAAGGTTTTCTGAGAAGACAATCTTTCAATGGAGGCTGGAAGAATGGGGTGGACTTTTTTTGTGGGCAAGAATGGGACTTTGGGGGGAAGAGGTAGAGGTGAGGGTTGGAAAGAGTAATCCAGGGGCAAGAATGACAACAGTGCCACATGCCAGCCTCAGAAGAGATGGCAGAGAGCCTGCGATTGAGGAGACTATGTGTGTGTTAGTATGTAGATAATGCCACAAATACAGCAAAGGCATGGAACAGAAAGAGATTTAATGGTGAAGAAAATGGAGCTAAGGTTTATAAAAGGCATTTGACAAAGAATTAAAAATGACTACAATTTTGAAAACTAACAATTTCATAATGGTGATAATCACTTGCGATGCAGTAATTTTTTCAACGAAAAATGTCACCGCTGCTACTTTCCTAAATTTCAGCTCTAGAAAGCTATATTAAGTAAACGTTTATCTGATGCTTGAAATGCCTATGTTAGAAAAATAAATCCGTTTGGTTCTTCTTAAAGATTTTATAATTATTAGTCCGCTATTCATCTTATTGTCTTTTAAAAAATTCAATGGTTTTTCTTTTCATTTGCAATAGGTTTAAGAACAACAACAAAGACATCACATTTCCCAGTTCTTTTTAACTGACTTCCCCTTCCTATACCTAGGATACAATTCCCTCCTCCATAGCTTCCAAAGAACCAGCCATGCTTATTCTTAGGTCCTTTGGGGAACTGTGTTTGCTAACCATTTCGCAGGGCTCTGGACTTTGTCTTGTTTTGTAATTTTTTACCGGACATATCATCTCATGTGAACTGCGTTCCTAGTGCAGGCGCGGTTGGAAGTTGCCATAGCCCGGAGAACTAAGTATACACCCTGGTGTTAGCCCTAGCAGCTGTTCTGCTCAAGAGGCCATACCAACAAGACACCCACATAGGCTCAGATCCCCGTTCTGCTCAGCGTCCCGGATGCCTTCCAGGAGAGTTCTGTGCTTGGCTGCCATTCCAGAAAAGATGGGAAATGGTCTTTGATCCCAGAGCATGGACAAGGAGCCCTCGCCTCCTAAGCTGCTGCCCCATGTGGGATGCACACCTCCACACGTCCTCTCAGGTCCCGCTGCTTCGACTGGTTGCCTCGTTCTATGAACAGGCCAGCTTCAAGTTTCCTTTTCCTTTCTGGTCCATCCTGCCCCTCTCTGGTCCTTGGAATGTTTCCGTTTCAGTGCATCCTGCTTGAGAGCCCCTGGGTGTGTAAATGATTAGCATGCTCAGCTACTACCTGGAATGGTTGGAGGGTTGAGTTTACCCAGGTGTGACTCTGAAAAATGGTCTGGCTATCTACTTCAAGCAGTCACTGAAAACACTATGGGGCTCTTTGAAGTGCCTCTAATAAATACACCGGGCCGGAAAGAAAGCCCCATGGAATGTACAGGAGCTCTGGTGGTACCATGGACTAGGAGTTGACCTGCTAACCCCAAAGTCCATGGTTTGAACTCACCAGTTGCTCTATAAGAGATGAGGCTGTCTTTTCCTATCAAGATGTAGAGGTTCAGAAATCCACATGGGCTTGATGGCAGGGAGTTTTATGCGTGCAGGCCAAAGAGAAAGGGAGGAGAGAGGAAGGGAGGAACACTTCGATGGAGCAACACTTCGATGGAGCGTAGTCCTCCTTTAAAGCACATGGACTTGCCATACATTGGAATGAAGTCACTGGATTATATATTATTCACAGTACATTTTAAAATATTTTAGCAATATTTCTTCTGATTCGGGTTTTCAGAGTGAGGTTGTTTGGCATGCTTCATCTCAGCTGGAAGATCAGTAAGAAGTCTTCAATTTTGGCTTTGAATCACTCAGAGCCCCAAGGAAGGAAACTTTAAGAAAGAATAATGACCTCATTTAAAAGGTGGATGTGGTAATTATAGAATCTGTTGTCAGTTTGAGACTTAAGAGTGAATGGGTGGAGTTCAGCCTGTCAATCAGGTCACAACTTGATGACCTCATTTGGAAGTGCTAAGGAGAGAAATAGCTCTTTGGAGACAGGACACATGCTCACTCCCTGAAAGACATTCCTTTTGTGAAGACCTATGGAGCTATGCTAGAGTCCTGGAGCTGAAGCCACATGGAGACCCCTTTCAGTGCTGAGATGCTTCCCTGACACCGGATCCACAAGGCTTTTCACCCATTGGCCTGTGATCTTCCTGCATTCGGCATCATTGCATGTGTTGGGTGAGTCTGAAGAGGACTTTATAGATTGGTATTGGACATATGGGCTAATATCGGACTTATGGACTTGATCTGGAATGGGCTGAGACGTGTTCTCAATATTCAACTGCTCTTGTATATAAAGCTCTTTCTTATACACATATGAGCGTCCATGAATTTGTTCCTAGTCTACCAAGACTAACACAGTGGGTAAAACAAAGAGCCAAAGAATGCGGCGGAGAGTGTGATTTAGGAATAATTTCGTAATCCCAGCTTTGCACCAAAGAAAAACTCACTTCTAAATCTCAATGATTTTCCATTTTTGGATTAAATTATTCACTGTATGTTCAGAGATTACAGAATACTTTTGAGGCATTCCACTATTTAATGTCTTCATTCTAGAGGTGACTGCCACAAGGTAGAGTTGCCCAGTCCATCTCTTTAGTTATACAGTCTTAGTGAGATTATCTTTAAGATGACATGTCACAACAGGAAATTTCCAGGGAAATGATATCCCCTGACCATTTAAGGTTCAGCAGGCATAGGTATGACCTTTCCAAAGGTCGTCAGCAAAAGAGGGGCAAATATACACAACCTAACACATTTAGATTTTACAAGCATCTGTTTGCATTCCCCTCCCTTTATTAAGTATACATCACATGTAAAATCTGTTCTTAATCAACTGATACCTAGCCTAAAGCCTGTGGTCGAAACATACGGAAATATCCAGGTCTTTGGGGGTTATTCAAATGGAAACAGTACAAGTGTTCTTCAAGCCCACAAATAATTAGCATTGGTCAGAAACTAGGAAAGAGACTTGTTTCCAAGAGGTTCCAGAGGGGGTGACAACAACTGAAGAGGGTCTAGGTAAAGGGACGGTGACAAAATCCAGTCCTCAGTTAGTCATGTGTTCAGCGCTTCGGATGCGGGACTTCTATGAAGGTTTTCTAAACTTTACCCGCATTACTATTATCTTGTCTGCTGGCTAATGGCTCCTGAAAGCTCATCGTTATGATAGTGTCTTATGTGGAACAGAGCATAAAAGAGATAAGACTTAAGTGGATGCTTACGTGTTTAAGCTCTATGAATATCCAAACTAGGTTGCAGAGTACTAAGCCAAACACGTCGAAACAGCAGTGTCTTCGCCTCTCCCTATGGAACTAAGGAGGAAGGCGTGAGTGAGTGTCCCTGGTGATGAGAGCAGGATTGCCATGTCAGTGGGACAAAGGATTTGACTACTCTTGGGTTCCCTTTTCCTTTCCATAAGATGCCATTAACGATAAATCTATTCTAAGCCAGGCCCTTCCAAACATGCTCCCAGTGGGCCCCAGGAAGAAGGAGTCCATGTGTTGATAACAACACACTGCTCATGAGCATGCCCTCTTTCTCTTTCTACTTTTTCTACAGACATTGCCAGTTCATGCTCCGTTCCATTTCTTAGTCAAGGTCACATTCTGGGAGAACTCAGTTCAGGCCCTTTTCCATAGATGTCCTATAATCTGTATTTGTTAAATATGCCCTTATAGAAGGAGCAGTCGTACGAATGGCATAGTTCACGGCTTTTCAAAGATATTGGCAAATGCAAGCGATTGCTTTGTGT